CTTACCAACGATAGCTGAATCAACATTTGGAGTTCTTCGGGTCGAACCGAGAATTCCTAAAATTCGCCTAGCGTTACATACGACGTGACACAACTGTATTATATATACATTAAAATTTGTTTTGTTTTGGCTCGTAGCTCTTCTGATTAATTTTGTTTTATTTGAATTATTTGAGCCTTTCTTTATAATGTATTTTTATTAATAAAACCAATAAAATAACCATTATTTTATTTATAAATAGTATGGTACAATTGTCCCTCTATACTGTTACAATCGTCCCAGGAGTTGGGATGGTTGTAATAAAATTCCTCATAGTCTTTAAACAAACATAACTTTTTTTCTAGCTACATTGAAAAATTGAATCAAAGAAAATTTTGTAGCTAAATAAATTCTACATCTAAAGGTATATACTTTTTTTAATGTAAATATTATATTTTAACTGTTATAATACTTCAAAGTCAAAATGTTACTTTTGTCCGCGGTCTTCCCTATCAAAGTTAAAAAACATGAATACAGAGTAAGTCAATGACAGACAAAATTAATGACCAAGAACGATCTTGATGGTTGCAAGTCACACATTAAAATGGATTTAATGTGTGACTCGCAACCATCAATTTTATCTCATCTTAATCTCATGAGACCATCCAGCGTACCAATTGAGTACGGGAAAATATCATTTGTATTGAAAATTAACCAATTGAAGTTACGTGTGCAGATTATGCAGTAAAATACAATTCATCTGTTTTCCATACTGAAGAAGGCAAGAATTTAGCCGAAACGTACGTCAAATAGGCACAAGCGCTGAAATAAATATTTTTACACTTTAAGGTCTATTAATTATTTAAGCGCAAAACTTACAACGCCGATTCCTAATTGCCCAAATTTACTCATCTATTTAATTATTATTGATATAAAGAATCTAACGTTTGAATTCTATTTTTTATAAAATATAAGTCTTACTTCCAAACTGACAATTTGATTTTGCAATAATTTAGATGTAGCTGTTTTCTCTTTCAATACAGCTTGCAGCTCCTCAATTCTCGTTTGTTTTTTTTCAGCTTCACTCTTATCACGCTTATGCCCTTTAATCTGTTCGAGCTTCATTTCGTACTTCTGCAGACTGAAGTCCACATGATAAAAAGTTTCTTTTTTCTCCCCAACAAGTTTATTTTTCTTTACGAGTAAAGCGTTGAGCAAATCAACTTTTTTGTACTCGCTCTGCATTTCCATCTGTAAAATCTTTCTTTCGTTCTCCAATTCTACAATTCTTTTCGTTGTACGTAAAATCATAGCTTGTAATTGACTTGATTCCTTCATAATCACGTATTTTCGTTTCTCGTCGTGCTGGAACCAGTTGACATGAACTATTATTCTTTTCAAGATAATTTTTATAATATTGAAATGTGGATTTACTTTTTGTTATTTAGCAAGAATTGATATTTTTTCATAATATTAATATATAAATAGACTATAAGAGTTGAATTATGCAGGATGTTCCCGGGTTAAACCGCCAAATTTAAAATATGAATTCAAGACCTCAAAACAAACCAAAATTTTCCTCTGGACTTACGTCTTCTGGAGCATACGCTCGCAAACGCTCCGTTCAAGAGATATTTACTTATGAAGTTACAGAACTCTTTATTGCTTTACAATAATCAAAATTAGTTATTACATTAGGTTTTGTTCAAAATGATAGCCCCCCAGTCCGGAGATAAGCATTGCAGCTATCGATGAGAAAACGAGTGGCTCACTGACGTGTGTCTGTAATTCCTTCGCACGCTTGCACAATTCTTCGTTTTAATGATTGAAGGTCATTAACAGGCATTCCATACATTTTTTTCTTCAGGATACAAAAAATCTTATGATGTTAAATCTAGTGAACGCGGAGGCTAAACCACAGATCCAGCACGATCAATCCATCTTCCGGGAAAATGAATATTAAGCCACTGTCGAGGACCTCTGCCACAGTGAGCAGGGCAGCCATCCAATTGAAACCAGGAATTCATTCTCATATTCAAAGGAATGTTTTCTAAAAGGTCATAAAGTTTATTGTTTAAAAATGCGAGAAATCCATTCGCATTCAAGCGAGGTGGTAGAAAATGGAATCCAAAATATTGCCTATTATTCCTAACCATACATTACATTGAAAACCGTGTTGGAAATGTTGTTCATGGATTGCTTGAGGATTCTCATGCAATCAAACATGACTATTTCTTTGATTGAGGACACCTTGCCTAATAAATATCATCTGTCCACAAAACGTTTTATGAAAATTGTGGATCGTTATCTGTTTGGTTTAAAAACCGATCGCCAAATGCTTTTCTGCGTGGCATATCAGCCGGTAATAAACTGGACATGTTGAAGATGGTATGGATGACGTCCATTGGCTGAAAGTGTCTTCCATATGACTGTGGATGAAATTCCTAACGCAGAATCAGATTTTCAAGTACTTATTGACGGATTTTGATCGAAATGCTACAATATGATGGCTAACAACAAGAAATTAAAAAAGGGCAAATGAGAATAAATAAATAATAATGCGCGGTTAGAGGTGCGCTATAAAATGTTTTAATAATATGTAAGACAATTATACTTTTTAACAAAGTTTCGGACGTTTCGACTGACTTGCAGTCATCTTCAGCGATTCAAAACAAATAACATACAGAACAAATTAAATCAACCCGGATACAAAATAACAACGCAGGTTAACGAACGTTACATTCTTCCTGACAGTAATAATATAATCTTCTTACGGACTCTACCAAATTCAATAATCAAAATTCCAAAGAAACAGGGCGAATAAGAGTCAGCGTGGCAATCTTAAATCTTCAATCCAGAAAATATAATCTTTATTCCAAGAAATATAATAGTACGTTTCCGTTCACTTTGGAACCATCCTCAGCAATACAAATTCAAAAAATCAAAATATCAATCCCTTCATGTCCAAGAAAAAATCACCATCAGATTAATAGATTTGATGTTGTAATCTATTCGAAACATTAAGATTATCTTATAAATATATCTATCCTACAAATTTAAAATTAACATTTAAAACTGGTGACTCACCCGAAGACATATTATTGTCTCGACATTGGATCAATCAATTACAATTAATATTCACCAAAGAGTATCAAAATTAAAAAACGCATGTTGATTGCAGCTTGAATGAAACATAGCCAGGGTTGTGCGCGTTACCGTTACCGTTACTTTTTGAAAAATGTAACTCGTTACCATTACTCATTAGCAATTTTAAAAAGTAACTCGTAAACGTTACTATTACTTCAAAAGTAACGATTCTTTTTACTTACTTTTTACTTACTTTTTTTATAATTCTAAAGTAAGTTATTAGATTTTAAAATTATATTAGCTGATAATTAATTTAATACTAAATGTGAAATAAATATTCAAACTTGAAATTCTCTACTAACTAGTTTGTATATAGAACAAGCTTTTCTCTATATTAAACTTATCTACAGTTTTACTAATTTATTATTTTACTTAGATAATATCATTATTTTAATGTACCCATTTTTATGAGAATTTAGATTAAACAGATAATAGATGAAACATTGTTTTTAAACGTTAATGTTCCCTGGTGGAAATAAATCGACGAAATCTCAATAGATTTCAGTATAATTCATAATAAAATAAGTCAATTGATAGAAATTTCAGCGATTTCAACGATTTATTTCCATGAGGGTTACTCTATTATGTGTATTTCAATATTTATTGTCCGTACCAAAAATTTACAGCATATATATGTAATGTGAATTATATATTTTCAATATTGGCAGTGCCTATTAGAACACAGTATAAGATATTAAGTACAAAATACTTTTTAAAAAATTGAAAATAAATTATATAAAAAAAGAAAATAATAGGGAACTGAAGTAACGGTAAAAGTAATGGCTAAATTCGTTACCGTTACTATAAAAATGTAATGACGTTATCGTTACCGTTACAGACAGAAAAAAATAACGATCGTTACTGAAAAAAGTAACGAAAACGGTAATGCCGTTACAAGTAACGCATTACTTCCCAACCCTGAACATGACTAACGCATTTAATATAATAAGAAAGACATATTAGGTCAACAACGAAAATAAAAAGAAAAAAGGACAATGTCAATACATAAACAAAATTTTGTATACCCGACAACATATAACTATTTAATGTCTTTTAATAATTGTATATAAGTTTGATGTGCACCCTCTGTATCTGAGCGTAAATTTAGACTATTCTCTTGCATGAATATACGAAGGCACTCAGATATTAAACGTTTATTAAGAAAACGCTCTTCATCTAGAATCGCGACATTCTCCCAATTGAAGTCATGATCAAATTCAATCGGATGTTCTGTGATCACCGATTGGTTGTTACTACACCGGTTAATATGATTACGATGCTCAGCCAATCTAGTTCTTCTTTTTGTCTGTCCAACATAAGAGGCATCGCAAGATTTACATGAGATTTTATACACAACATTTTTATTTCTCTTGAGAGAATGTCTTTATGTCCCTTGATCAAACTATTTAATTTATTTAAGCTAGTAAAAGCTAATTTAGTATTAAAGGTTTTACTAATTCTTTTGAATTCATCTGAAATTTTTGGAATATAAGGTAGTACAAACCAAGAAGTACAGTCCCTCTTGATTTCCTCACTTGATTCTTTCTGTTGTATCGCACCTTAATGAGAATTTTTAAACGTGCGTTAATAGTATTAAAAATTAAATCAATAGGATAATCATTTTTTAGTAATGTACTGACAATGCGTTCAAAATTTTGTTGGTGATATTTAGGGTCCGATAATAAAAACGCTCTATCTGTCTTATATATTATTATGCCTCTTTTTTGTGAGAGTGGATGTATCAATAAAAACTTAAGATACCTTCCCAAATACGTAGGCTTATGGTACCAATTAAATTCAATTAAATTGTTATTATTAATAATAGTAATATCCAAAAAATTTATTTTGTCATCGTCAAATTCTAAGGCAAATTTTAATCGGTCATGTAACGAATTAAAGGTCTCAAGTGTAAAGTTAACTAGATTTTTTGGAACTGCCATAACAATATCATTTACATAACGAAAATAAAATAAGGGTTGAAAACCTAAAGCCTCTAATGCCCTTCCCAGTGAGAAATGACAATGGAATCGACGTCGAATCGATGTCGATTCGACATCGAAATCATCGAATTGACGTCAAATCGACGTCGATTCGACGTCGATTTCATTGTCATTTCTCACTGGGTTGCTTCCAAATCCCTCATTACTAAATCGGCTACTATTGGAGAGAGAGGCGACCCCATAGGGGTACCAAAATTTTGTTTATAAAACTCCCCATCAAAACTAAAATAAGTTGAATTGAGTACCAACTGGACTCCCAATATAAACTCATCTTTCGAGATATTGACCTTATCTCTCACAAAATTCCATCTCTTATCAATACTCTCAATAGCCAAATCAGTAAGGATATTGGTAAACAAGGACACAACATCCATTGAAATTAAGACATGTTCAATTTCAAAACGTGTCCCCTTAAGTCTTTTCACTAATTGAAAACTATTGTCAATATTGTAAACCGATTTAGGTACATTCTTTGAGATGACATCATGTATGAAAGTTGCCAATACATACAAAAGACTATCTATAGATGATATTATTAATCTGAAAGGGCAATTCAATTTATGTATTTTCGGTAAAGAATACGCTCTCGGGAGAATACCTCCGCTATAAGATAATATTTTGTACACATTAAATCATGAATAAAATTTTCTTCTTTCCATCTTAATAACAGATCTTGGACATTGTTACTTAATTTATTAATCGGATTTTTCTTTAATTTTATCTAGGTTTCTTTATCCTCAAGCATCTGCAAGACTTTTGATTTGTAATCATTATTATTTAATGCAACGATGATATTTCCCTTATCAGATTTTGTTAAGATGACATTAGGATTTCGCTTTAGAAAACATTTAGTGGCATTCAATAATTGTGCAATCCTGGTATTAACCTCATTTTTAGCAACAGAAAAAGATTGCAGAAATCTGACACTGAGCAAAATCGATAGACATATTTACGTTGGCTGTAAGAATGCATTAAGATCATTATTTTTCATCGTTTTTTGATTTTATATGATTTATGTTTGGTATCATCGCTGTTGATTTGATAAAACACCATTGGATCAAACATCACAAAAATGTCATAAAAAATGCGATGCCTTTTATGTTGGACAGACAAAAAGAAAAACTAGATTAGCTGAACATCGTAATCATATTAACCGGAATAGTAACGACCAATCGGTGATCACAGAACATCAGATTGAATTTGATTATGACTTCGATT